CTTCCCTTCTAATTTCATTGAAGAGTTTAAACAGTAGTGGCAGCAGTTCCTCTCTAAATGTCTTGTAGAATTCAGCAGTGAAGCCATCAGGGCCCAGGCTTTTCTTAGTTGATAAGTTTTTAATTACATTTTCAATTTCTATGCCAGGTCTTTACGAACTCTTCAATAAATTCAAGGGCCCAAAACTCTAGAAACTCATTTTATGAGGCTACCTGTAGTCAGATGCCAAAGTCAGACAACTATCCTAAAAGAGAAGAGATTAACATGCCAGTATTTCTGAACATGTATCAAAAAAAAATCTTTGATAAATATTAGCAAATCAAATTTAATTACATAATAAAAAGATAATATGTGTGACAGAGTAGAATTTGTCTTGGTAAACAAGGATTATTCAACATGTCCAACTCAATATATATGGTATACTATATTAACAGGATAAAGGATAAAAATCATATGATCTTTTCAATGAATACACAAAAGGTATTTTAGAAAATTCTGTACTATTCTCCAACAGAAACTATCAACAAATTACATATAGAAGGTATACAATTCAACATAACAAAAGGCAAATATCACAAGTCCAGGTGATCACCATAGTCCATAGTGAAACTATGGACTAGTGAAACTATTCCTGTAAGATCATCAACAAGACAAAGATGCCCACTTTGGCCACTTAGATTAAATATAGTACAGAAATTGCTAAACAAACCAATTAGGAAGGAAAAAGAACCGTCATGCAAATTGAAAAAGAAGAATTAAAATTGTCTTTGCATGCAGATATTTTGATTTTGTATGTAGGAAACTATAAATACATCATCAGTGAATTATTAGACCTAATAAACACATTTGGTAGATTCCCAGGATACAAAACAAAAATATTAAAATCAGTGGAATTTTATACAATAAAAATAAAATTATCCAAAAAAAACGAATTAAGAAAATTGTGTCATTTACAATAGCTTCAAATGAATTAAATATTTAAATAAATTTAACCAAAGTAGTGAAAGATTTATATAATAAAATTTATAAATCAATGATGAAAGAAATTAAAGAAGACATGAATAAATTAAAAAATGCCCTTGTTCAGAGATTTGATCATTTTTTGAGATAGGGTATCACTAAGCTCCCAAGGCTGACCTGAAACTTGCAATCTTCCTGCCTCAGCCTCCTGAATAATCAGAATTATAATTCTAGAAGAATTAATATTGACAAAATGTCCATATTACTAAAAGTGATCTACAGATGCAATGGGATCCCTATCAACATTTGAATAAAGTTTTTCAAAGAAATAGGAAAAAATCCTAAACCATGTTTAGAGCCATAAGGGACAAAGCAATCCTGAGCAAAGATAACAAACATAGCAAAGGGCCCATAATGCACTG